TTTTTTTGAGACAGAGTCTTCCTTTGTTGCCAAGCACCAGGCTGGAGTGCAGTGGTGTGATCTTGCTCACTGCAACCTCTGCCCCCTGGGTTCAAGCAATTCTTCTGCCTCAGCCTCCAGAGTATCTGGGACTACAGGCATGCACCACCACGCACAGCTAATTTTTGTATTTTAGTAGAGATGGGGTTTCACCATGTTGGCCAGGATGGTCTAGATCTCTTGACCTTGTGATCCGCCTGCCTCAGCCTTCCAAAGTGCTAGGATTACAGGCGTGAGCCACCGCTAGGATTACAGGCGTGAGCCACCGCGCCTAGCCCCAGTATTATTTTAATGTGTGATAAAGTGTTACCAAATTAGCTTGTTCAGTGGCTTAAATTTGTCATCATTTAAACATTTTCATTGCCCTTTCCGTAAGAAATGGCATTACTGATGCTAAATAATTGATACTATATGACAAGGCATTTGCTATCTTTTAACAAGTTCAGGTTTGCATTTTATGTCTTTCGTTGAGTGAAATTTTCTCCCTGCTTGGCTCCTGAAAAATTTTTCCTTTTAAATGCGAAGAATAAGCTCTAATCAAGGGACTCATTTCTAAAATAGCAGTATGAATTAGTGAGCAAGTGCGGCTTGGTGGCTTTGTGCCTTCAACTCTGTTAGTTCCACTGTGTGTTATCTGTGACATACTTGGAAGTTCAGTGTTTCCAGCATCTAATGGCACAGTTTACAATTGTGACTTTGCCCAACAGCAAGTATTTTAAGTATATATGCACACACGCGTGCACACACAGACACACACCCCTTAAAAAAAACAAAAACAAATATGGATCATTGCTTTTATTGGATAAATATAACTTTATGTTATCTAAATTTCTTTTCATATTTTATTAACTGTAGCATTTTCTAAGCTTTTAGTGTAAAAAAATTAGACTGAATATTTTTTCTTACACTTTGACAGAGATAGGCCTGAAAAAATTTTTATGAACACAGGTGAAAAAGCAGGAAGATTTTCAATTGAGTGGATATTAATTCCAAATGTCAGTCTATCTTGCTATAAAATTTCACTTCAACCTTGGTGCATCTAGCCAGTATGAGGGGGAGGATTTGTCCACAAAACTCCTGTGGGAGGATGGATAGACACAAAGTGGCCTGGACAGCTCATTTCCACCCTTTCATTGGCTGTCTGTCTGTCCTAGGTTTGTGAGTTGCCTGCTGGAGCAGCCTGAAGTGTTAGTCACCGGTGCAGGAAGAGGACATGCTGGCAGGATCATTCACAAGCTGTTTGTGAGTGCTCAGAGGGTATGTGAGAACCATTGCTGACTCTATCGTGATCTCTCCAGACCTCTGCTCTGGAAGAGGCTGTTTTAGTTCCCACACATGGCTGATCACAGTGATGTCACCCAAGTGTAAGTCTGGGCATTGGGTTTGAACAATGAAGAAACAATGACTTCTGAGCCTCAAAATCCATTTGTTTTCCTACATGTTGAATTAAAATGATAAGTGTGTTCTAGGACCGACATTTTAAAAATTAGAAGAGTCCAAAATCCATTGTTATAGAAGCTGGCAGGGACATGATTAGCAATGGCCAATGCTGTGCTGTAGAAAAAAATGTTTACTTACAGGTACTTTCAAATTAGAATGGAGTTCAGTTTTACCATCTCTAAAGCCTATGTAGTGCAAAGTGTATTCACAACTCTCCTTGAATTATAAATATAACTGTTCTTGTAATGGTGAAGATATCTACCTTTGAGGTTTCCTAGGAAAGAGGAAAATTTCAGATTTTTAGGGCTATGGAAACAGAAAGAAAGCCCAGCCTGAAAAATTATAATCATTACCTCTAGTAGTGAAAGTAAAGGTTTTAAAATTATATATTATCGGCTGGGTGAGGTGGCTTATGCCTGAAATCCTAGCAGTTTGGGAGGCCAAGGCAGGTGGATCACAAGGTCAGGAGTTCAAGACCAGCCTGGCAAACATGGTGAAACCCTGTGTCTTCTAAAAATACCAAAAATTAGCCAGGGGTGGTGGTGTGCACCTATAATCCCAGCTACATGGGAGGCTGAGGCAGCAGAATCACTTGAACCCAGGAGGTGGAGGTTGCAGTGAGCGGAGATCGCACCACTGCACTCCATCCTGGGTGACAGAGTAAGATTCTGTCTCAAAAAAAAAAAAGAAATTATGTAGTATCTTGGTTACTGGCTAAGGGCTCTGACATCCCACAGATAATGATCAATTCAGGGCTCATTAATATTAGTGATTCTGATAAAGGTATTATGATGTGCACAAATTACCTGCTTCCCCTTATATGGCACTGTGATTACACTAGAATGAACCCGTTTTGAGAGTGTAATTTTCAGAATCAAATAAGAAAAATAATTTCTATGGGTCTACACATGGAATAACAACTGGATAATCCCTGTAGAGTTAGTCTGGCGTACAACTAGTTAATATATTCCAATTCATAGCCAAATATACTGGTAGGAGTTCTTAGCAAGAGCTAAAATCTTAGTTTGTTTATGGGGCAGCTCCCTAAACTTAAGAATTTCAAATTAATAACCAAATATTTATTTCCTTATAAATTAGTCTTCTAGCAAACAATAGATGCTTGCTTTGATTTGTTTTTGTCTCTGGCATGAAAACAAGAACCGAGTTTGGTTCCACATCTGATGATATCTACCCAGTTTACTACCCAGAAGCTTACAAGCATATTCTTTTTCTTAGCCGCCAATATGAATGTTCCTCATATTGCAAAAAAGTCTTTCCTCTTTGATTGTTTTTAAAAAGTGACATGTTGGCTGGTTGCGGTTGCTCACACCTGTAATCCCAGCACTTTGAGAGGCCGAGGTGGGTGGATCCCCTGCGGTCAGGAGTTCAAGACCAGCCTGGCTAACATGGTGAAACCCCATCTCTACTAAAAATACAAAATTTAGCCAGGCATGGTGGTGAGCACCTGCAATCCCAGCTACTGGGGAGGCTGAGGCAGGAGAATGACTTGAACCTGGGAGGTGGAGGTTGTGGTAAGCCGAGATCATGCCACTGCACTCCAGCCTAGGTGACAAGAGTAAATCTCCATCAAAAAAAAAAAAAAAAAAAAAAAGTTAAGAGGATTTAAAATCTGAAGTATTTAAGTCCTGAGATTATTGATAACTAAGCAAAATTATTTTCCCCAAAATAGAAATAACCTCCTTACCCCCTCTACTGACTGCAAGTAAAACTTTGACAATATGGGAAATTTTATATTTATTTATTCATTTTCTAAAGAATGGGTCTCATTCTGTCGTCCAGGCTGGAGTGCAGTGGCACGATCGTAGCTCACTGCAGCCTTGAACTCCTAGGTTTAAGCAATCCTCTCGCTTCAACATCCCAAGAAGCTTCAACCACAGGAATGCAACACCACGCCCAGCTAATTTTTGTATTTTTCCTAGAGATGGGGGTCTCACTTTGTTTCCCAGGCTGATCTAGAACTCCTGGTTTCAATTAATCCTCCTTCTACGGCCTCCCAAAATGCTGAGATTATAGGTGTGTGTGAGCCACTGCACCTGGTCTAGTAAATTATAAGAAAATACTAATCACATGATCTCACTACCCATTGATGATTTAACATCTAGTATATACATGTGTATATAATTCTAAAAATAGGGTTATATTATGTAATTACTTCGTTATTCTTTTCTACTTAATATACTTAAGATACCTTTCAAAATCACTAAATACAGGAGCATAGTATATCATCTTTCAGTGGCCTCATTGTATAGCTAATCCCCTTAATGAATGGAAATCGTGGATTCATCTATATTATTTCATTTAAGAAAAAATTTCAAGTTTTCAGACCTTGTAGTGAATGTCTGTAGTGAATGTTGTTATATGTAATCCATATAACAAGTGTCCGGTTGGTACATTTTTAAACTTAGTTCTTAACTGTCTGGCTGAAGTAAACTGTTAAGGGTTTATTCATATGCCTTTCCATTAGCTGATACTTTGTATCAATTTTACAAGTCAAGATTTTAACACTTTTTCTTTGAAAGCTGTGATGCAATTTCACTTGGTGTTTTTATAGCTTATAGTAATTTTATATGTTTATAACTCTTCCTTAAAATTATAAATAGTAATAAGCCTTATGATTATAAGTATCTCTGGTATATACATACTTAAATGGAATTCAGCAAATAAATGACTGGATTTTTGCTTCAGGCTTGCTAGATTGAATAACTCTTAGGCACCTATTCCTAAATTCCCTGGAATATCTATTTCTCAAGCCATGAACACTATTTTTTTTAAGCATCATAATTCCCAGTAGAAGAGCTAGGTTTCTGTTGGTCATTTCTCCATTAAATAACACCATGTCACCTGTTGAGCCGTAGATGCATGAGTAGTAGATGTCTGCTGTAGTTGACAGCAATGTGTGCTGTGTGTGGTGTGACTTTGTGTTGAATATTATTTTGATAGGATCATGTTCCTTAATGTAGTGCATGCTGTCTCAGAAGTAATCCTGAACTCCCTTGTCTAGCCCTGTTTAAACCATCTTGCTTGTTTCCCTTTCATCACTGTTTCTTTTCTCACCCTTTCTCAAGCTGACTGAATCTTCTGATGAGGTAACAAAATAGCCTTTGCCCCTCCCAGTTCCTTGTTCCTTCCCATCCCTCTAACTTCATAAGGTCGTGAACACTAACCACCTCCCTCACAGTCTGGATTTGGCTTACCTCACTTGCTGATGTTTAGTGCAACATGATTTCATGTTTCCATTTCCAAAACAATTTTTTTTTTTCTAAATTGATGGTATTATCAAAAAAGCATAGTAATCAGAATTAAAATTTTAGGCTGTAAGTGAATATGCATTTTATGTCATTTCAATGAAAAAAATAGATGCCTTTGATACTGAGAACTTCTCTTTTGTGGTCATTGCTGTATGGGCCTCTGTCACTTCAGCATCACATTAGCTGCCCAGAAAGCAAGACTAATGCCCCCTCTTTTAATTTGGCAAGTGAACCTTAAAAAGAATTGATTAAAAATTCTTACCCAGAGTGAAGATAAAAATTATCTCTGGAGAAAAACAGCTCCTTACTGGGCTGGGGCTACCAGACATAGACTTGAGTCGTTGCTGGAAGAAACGCAGAAAGCAGCACAGCTCCGTGGGCCTTTTTCATCAGATGTCTGAATATGGCCCTCTCTCTTCAGAGCAGATTGCCTGGCAGTCATCATCCCTCCTGTCTCCGTCTCCAGTCCGGCTGCTCATGCCGTGTTTCAAGCTTCTTGCATTTGCTGTGTAATGTGGTTTTTGAGTAATCTTACATACAGCTGACTGCATTACTGAGTAACATAGGACATTTTCATTTATTTATCATGTTAATTCATCTGTCCTTCAAAAGCATCTGAGTTTAGTATTTTACCTGCTTTTGACTTTAGCATTTGATTCTTTTCCAGGCTGCAGCCATGACTCCACCAGAGGAGGAATTCAAGAGAATGGGCTCTGCAGAGGAAAGAAGGCAGAACTCCGTGTCAGACTTCCCACCCCCTGCTGGCCGGGAATTCATTTTGCGAACCACTGTGCCGCGCCCTGCTCCCTACTCCAAAGCGCTCCCTCAGCGGATGTACAGTGTTCTCACCAAAGAGGAATTTAGACTTGCAGGTGCCTTTTCATCAGATACCTCCTTCTTCTGATTCTTCTAGCATTACTCGTTGGTGGCTTCTGAGACAGTGCTGCCTCCTCCTGTGGGAGGGCAGGTGAGCCAGGGAGAACCCGAGAGGTCTTGGAGAGGGCCTTGCCCAGTTGGGTGATCAGGAATCAAACCAGCATCAGAAAGACTTCCCAGCACCAAGCTGGAGCTGTGTTGTTTCATGGAGGGGGCAGAGAGAATGGGCTTGGGCTGTTGAGAGATTTCTGCCCTAGAGATGGCCTTTGTATATGGGCGGGGGGGAACACAAACACATCATACACTCTGTGTCCTCACCCTGGTGGGACCGTGTTCATCACATTCTCTTCTGTGACTGGCCTCTAGGCTAGCGGCTGCATTCATGGTTTGTGCAAACACTTCATGGTTCTATATATCAGCATCAAGTGTTCAAAATAAAATATCTGTTAACTCAGATTTCTGGATATTTTGGTGGTAGCTTCTAGTCCCAGAATCTGTGTTTTTAAAATACTACATGACATCTGTCTATTCAATCACCTGGTGGTCATCTTTCTTGTACTAATTAACTGTTAATGAGCATTTTGGATATTCTAGGAGAAAGCCTATAATTTCACAGTTTCTCTTTTTCATGTAACTGTAACCTAAATGTATTACTTCTGATAAAACTATGATATCAAATGTCACTGCACATTAGTTTTATATCTATTTTGTGAGATTTGTTTGGTTGCCATGTAAGTCATCACCCTGAAAATCATCTCCCTCCCCTTCTCTTGCTGTACAGCATGCATTCTTTTTCTGTGGTTGCTGGCTGCGTACTGTATCTAATGAAGTAGAGAACAGCACATGCAAAAATACAGTCTGGGAACCTAACAGACTCTCATGCAGATAGTATCATTTGGTTTATGCACTAATGCAGTGAGTAGAGGATTATTTTAATACACTATTTTGCTTTGTATTTTAGTTCAAATAATCTATGGGGAGGTATAGCCCCCAGTATGAGAGTAACATCACCACATTTCTAGTTACATGGAGATCAACATGTATTATGTCTGTGTTGCTAGATGATGGTTTCTGCTTGGTAATCTTATTTTTAGGCCTAAAATTTCCACTTCAATCCAAAGTAAAACTGGTTATACTGATGGGTAAACATAGAGAAAGGGCTGCCTCGAGGGAAGTCTGGGAAGGTCAGTTCCCTTTATAGTACTTTGGTAGCAGGGTGGGTGCGCTTAAAAGTTGCCCCAAGCCAGGTGGGGTTTGGGTTTCTTGCACTGCCCCTTGCCAGGCATTGGTGGACAAGATGTGGAGGGATGGCAGGCCATGAAGCAGCCTCCAGTTTGCCTCGGTCCAACAGGTGGCCCTGTCCACTGTCCCGGCCCCTACTCCCAACTCCTTTCTTCTGAGCACACTGTAACAGATAGGGGTGGGTGGGTAGATGGATGCCTTGATACCTCTATACCTCTATGGCAAAAGAGGCCCCACTCTTTCTTTTGTTTAAATCTCCTGGCCTGTAACTTTCACCCATTGGGCGTTATGAGACTACATTTGAGAATATTAGCTCCTGGAAGCCCAAGGACTCTACCGCTGGCATTTCTCTGGCTTTCAAAAGTGGGATTTGGCTAGTTCTTGAAACACAAGCTCAAGCTACTTCATCTAAGCAAAACTTCTCTGCTAGCTCTTCCCCTGGTAGCTTGTGGCATCTGACAGGTGGTCATGGATAGATCCTTCCAAAGTGAGCAGTTGCCCCTCCTGCAGGGAACGTTCTTGGCCTTAGCAGCAAGGAAGCAGCTGAACCAGAAGACTGCGGCTTGGGACTCCATCTGGAGAGGGTGGGGACGTGGCCCAGCCCACACACAAGCCCCAAGGCAGGAATGCTGGTGACCCGTGCTCTGGAATGGCCCCTACTCTTCAACATGTGCCCCAAAATGGGATGGTGTCCCAGGAGGCGGTCCCCATCCCTCACTCATCCAGGAGTCACCAGGTCTGCCTGTGTGTGGGGCCAGGGCCTTCCTTGCCTTAAACCGCTTCCTCTACAGACAGACAGACACCTTTGCTTCTGTTAAACTTTGCTTCGGAAAGGTGGCCTCGGCTGTGGTTGGACAGTCTGACCTGGGTAATCAGTGATGGGACACACTCAAAACTCTTCCAAAGCCCTCCAGCCACAGGACAATTTGAGTAAGTAATGACTTGTCCATGCTATTTGTACATATTCCTCTTTCTCAGCCCTATTGTGGCCCAAAACGCTATTTTTGCCTGTGTTACATAACAAAGGAAACTGCATTCTTAGCAACCCACTGTCACTCTGCTATGTTACCTTGCCTATATGAAAAAAGGAAATATTTTTAGAGTGTGAATTTCCCAAACGTCCTCAACTATTCTTGGATTGGAGTTACAACGTCATAAAGGGAGTGCGACAGTGGGAGGCCCAGCCATCTCTGAGGCTGTGGCTGAGTCCCATCTGAGGGCTTCTGTTGCCACTGAGGCTGCGTTGAAACGTGCCCTATCCTGCCCTGTCCCTGTGGCAGGTGGCTCTCTTTGCACAGGGCTTCCCACTGTCAGCAGTGGATTCCAGAGCCTAGGAATACTCTTCATTGATTTTCTTGACTCCTGTTGTTACTTTGGTGAAAAAAACGCCAGCAATGGCCTGTCCTCTTAGGGACTCAAGTAGGACGTAGAAATCCCCATTGGGGGTCCAGGGGAGCAAATTGCCTAGAATAAGCGCACAGGCTCCCTCCCTGCCACCAGGGACATGGTAGGAAGGCTTCCCTGACACAGATGTTAGCAGGGTTAATGCTGTCCCATCAGTAAAGCAAACCTGTCCAAAATGGTCAGGGGTTTCAGGCCTTGCCATCTGGCTGGGGAGCCAGACATGTTTCTTTAGTGTGTTTATCAGCTCCCCAGGTATGTCCTGGTAGACAGCTGCTCCCAGGAGCTGGTGTAGAAACAAACCTGCAGGAAAAGCCAGCCCGCTCCAGGCGTGTGGAAGCTACTGGCAGGAGCCCAGCAAGGACCTACCTGGGTCATAATGGAAGCAATACAACCAAAAATCCTTGATCGAGCCAGGACAGACGTGGCCTCATCACTGAAGATTCCATCTGAGACCTGCAAATAATCCAAATTGTATATGCTCTTAGAGCAGATAATTTTCTCACAGTTAAATAAAATCTGTCTTAAGTGGAAATTATGAGTGGCCCATCCCCCTGCTACCCACTTAACTTTTCCTTTCTTTTGTGTGCTCTGATGGAGAGAGAAGACAAAAGCAAGACAAAAGCTGTGTGGGGTCACTTTTCAGGACAGAACTTGGCAACATGGCCATAGAGCTGATTTAGTGGATACATTTTCAATTAAGAGGTTCTCAAATTTGAATTCTAGGTTTTCACATTTGAACTCTATCATACGTGGTAGAGAGCTACTGATAAATTTGGCAAAAGATATGCAAGGTTCCCAGAGACAAAATCATGAGACTTTATTGAAAAAGAATTAGAAGACGTGAGAATGTCAATATTGCTATTGTTATATTATTTTGGTAACATACCATTGTTCTTGTACAGAAAGATAAGGTACCATGAAGATGTCCATTCTTTCCACAATGACATTTAATTCCAAACAAAATCCCTGAAATACATTTTTTGGTGGAATTAGAATAGTTGAATCTGAATTGTATATGGAAGTGTAAAAGGCCATGAACAACCAAGTGATTCCTGAAGAATAATAAGGTCATGGATATTGCTCTATAAGATAGTAAGACTTACTGTAATGCTATAAATTATGGTAAAAGATTATGGTACTACCCCATGATCCACAATCCCACTACAGGTGTCTATCCAAAGGAAAGGAAATCAGCATATCAAAGAAATACCTGCACTCCTATGTTTATTGCAGCACTGTTCACAATAGCCAAGATGTGGAATCAACCAAAGTGTCCATTGGCAGATGGATGAATTAAAAAAATGTGATCCATGGCCCAGCGCAGTTGCTCATGCCTATACAGCACTTTCAGAGGGCAAGGTGGGTGGATTACTTGAGGCCAGGAGTTCGAGACCATCTCGGCCAAGATAGTGAAACCTCACCTCTACTAAAAATATAAAAATTAGCTCAGCATGGTGGCACATGCTTGTAATTCCAGCTACTCGGGAGGCTTAGGTATAAGAATCCCTTGAACCTGGGAGAGGTTGCAGTGAGCTGAGATTGCACCACAGCACTCCAGCCTGGGTGACAGAGCGAGATTCTGTCTCAAACAAACAAACCAAAAAATGTGATGCACATACACAATGGAATACTATTCAGTGATTAAAAAAAGTGAAATTCTGTGATTTGCGACAACATGGATGAGCAGAGAGGAGGTAATGTTAAATGAATAAGCCAGGCACAGAAGAACAAATACCGCATGTTCTCACTCACATGAGGTGTCTGAAGAAGTTGCTATCATGGAAGTAGAGAGTAGAATAGTGATCACCAGATGCTGGGGAGGTGCTGGGGGTCAGGGGGAAATGGGAGGAAGTTAGTTAATGGGTAAAAAGTCACAGTTAAATAGGAGAAATAAGTTATAAAGTTTTATTGCACAGTAGGGCGACTATAGTTAATAATACTGAATTGTTCATTTCAAAATAGCTAGAAGAGAAGATTTTGAATGTTCTTACCACAAAGAAATGACAAGTGTTTGAAGTGATGGATATACTAATTACATTGTGTAATAATTTGATTATTACACAATGTATACTTGTATGAAAGCATTACAATCTACCCATAAATATGTACAATTATTATGGTCATTTAAAAGCAAAAGTTAAGGCTGCACATGGTGGCTCACAGCTATAATCCCAGCACTTTGGAAGGCTGAGGTGGGAGAATCACTTGAGCCCAGGAGTTCAAGACCA